CTTTTGACATTTAAAGTTTTATGTATGTGATATGGGGGCGGAGAGGATTGTATTGTAGGGTCGGTCATGGGTACAGGGTACATGTTACATACTGAATTTATAATAGGCAACTATGTTTTGTTTCAAACAGACCAACTAACTGACTGCCAGGCTGACTGCCTGATTGAGCAACAAACTCTATGACAAATTGAACGACTGACCAATCTACTGTGAACCTAACTGTTCAACGGATTGACAATATGATTTATAGATAACCTGATCAACTAACTAATCGACTGACTAACTAAATAAGAGATTAACCATATTACTGAATAACCAACAGAAAAAATAACTAGCTGACTAATTAACTTAGCCTTGCTAAGTGAGTGAAATAATAATTGACTGACCGAATAACTAATTGACTGTCTTAGTAACTGACTAAATAAATTACAAACTGACTGCACAAATAACTGACTAACTGAGTAACTAACTGCTTGCTTAATTTATTTATGTGAATATTCATTCAACACCGAAATGCCTGTGTTAAATAAAAATTCAAATTTTTTTAAATTATTTAAAAATCGTAAAATCTTCAATGGCACATAATTGAATTTTCGAATATATTTTAAATGCATTGTGATTTTCAATATCCAACCCAGGAGAGATTTTTCTCTCCTCCTTTGTCTTGTAACCGCTGAATGTGCAAAAAGAGCGCCCTTTGTCAACCTTTGTATGTAGTTCGTTCCTAACCACCAGGGTGTTTGTTTCGCCCTTAACATAGTGCATATAATATTTAATGGTCTTCCCTCACCGACCCACACATACTGGCAGTACTAAAAATACACCAGAGGAAAACTATAAATGTTTAATGCTCCATATTAAAACTTTTGAACCAGCATTGTGTATGGATCACAGAAGGAATAACTGCAAAAGGGTAAAATGCAGAGAAAAAAGGATACATGAGGAAATGTTTGATAAAGACTTCAAAATATCAAAAGTCAATGTAGAACCATACCTCATTGTTTTTAACTTTTTGTAGAGTAGTTATAGTAATGGCCCGAAAATCGAAAATGAAAAGTTTTTCATCGAAATCGAATTTTTGAGAGATTTGAGCATCCGATTTGAATGATCCAAAAAACATTCAATTTGTAATGACCGAGAGAACTGGTGATTAGTTTTTGGAAGAGGCAGGTCCAGCGGTTTCGAAGATATAGCGTATAATGTGCAAAAAATGGCAGTTTTTGAGAGAACTAAGCGTCCGCTTTGAATTATTCAAAGAACTTTTTGTTTGTATTGACAAAACAATTGCTTTTGAGTATAAAAAATTATTACATTTTTTTTTATTTTTTATAAAATATTTCTGTAATTTTGGTATAAATATTCAAAAAATTACCCAGGATAAGCACAGTCTAAGCGCCACTCTGGTACAAATGTTCATTTAATTGCGGTTAGACTGTTTATGTGGAGCACTTTTCCAATTTTGTGAAAACTATTGAAAAATGTGAAAATGCCTCCAAGCAAAGCACAGTATAAGTAAAAATGTCGCACAGAACTATTTGCAAATGCGTTTAGACTGTGACTATACGAGAGCACTTTTTCAATTTTGTGTAAATTAAGCAACTATTTTTTTTAAAACTGAATTCGAAATGAAATGACGATTGTTAATGTTCTGGAGATAAATTTATTTATGATTGACATGATTTGCTCAGATATAACAATATTGCAAAAATAATAAAAGTTACAGTATTTGTAATAATATATTTGATAACGTTTATAATATCTCGAATATTTCATTACGGTATGGGAAGTTCCAGCAATTTGCCTTAATGCACGATGCCATACACCACTAATTCGATATTTTAATTCACAATTATTTATTCCTTTACTGTGTGGCAAAATGCAGCGAAAAAGATCCTTAGAAATTTATTCCTTTTTAATTCTGGTTTAATCGCATTTAAGACAAAAGTTTCTAAGACAAACTTTGAACTTTTTCAACTTTAATAATACAGAAACTTCGCCGACAAAACTTTCTTTCGTGGAATCAATAAATTACTTACTTCAGTATCAGTTGTTGCTTTTATTGTGTGTCGAGAGCAATTGTGGGTATTGGTTGTACTTATCATTTGACTTATTTATTTCTATTACCATTTTGCCTGTGACATCACGATCTACACATCAGAACACAGAATTTGTATTCTGCAATTATACAGAAGCGATGCTAATCCGAATCTAATCCCGCCAGGTTTACGTAGGGCCGTAGTTGGGCCCATGATGGGTCCTGCGGGTTGGCGCAAGGGCAATTTGGCTTTTCGGAAGGGATTAGGCGGATGTGGCGCGTATTATGATGGAACAAAAGAGCGGAAGGCTAAAATTAAAATTCAGACTATTAGATTATGGAAATTGAGCAGAAGCTATTTATTAGAAGCTATTTTTAAGTTAAATGTAGTTGGGTGTAGGTGTAAATGTGGCAGATATGCTATTTTTAAAAATGTTTTTATTCTTTATTACATTAAAATTTATATGCACGAGAATTCCAGAATGCAACGTCAAGCCCAAATAGAGTCAAAAAATGAAAAATTCATTTTAAGTAGTTGAAGCACCTAAGTAGTGCTGAGAGCTTTGATAACTCGGTTATTGTATTTAATTTTTAACTTTCCGTAGGGTAAATTGTTGTAATCGTCGCAATGAAAAAAAATTATATTTCTTCGCGTTTCAGAGGTTTCTGAACAGTTTGGCATATCTCAGCAAAATAAATGTGTGTGTATGTATGTATGTATGGATACAACTTTTGAAAAATTTTAAATCATAGTTTAAAGAAAAGTCTTAAATCTTGTTGACGTTGAGTTCTGGGATACCCTATATATATATATATATATATATCCATGAATACATATAAATCCATTCCTATCAAATTATATTCAATTCTAGTTCCGTAACTAATGCGACATTGTCGAATATCAGAATCGATAGCCGACGGCCCGCACCCGGATGCATAATATCAAAGCAAAGCAAATCATATCGGCGGAAACATTTCCCTCTGCCCTAACCATCCAACCCAGTCTCCTCTTCACTGGTCTCTTCCTATCTCATCCCCTGTTTCTCTCAATTATCTCTACAATTGGACAACCTTTGAAGCGCGAAACGACAATCGTAATGGTAATAAATGATTATGCAATATTATTGGCATATGATTAACATTATCGATAATTGTAATTATTGTCATTTGCATATGGTAAAATGATTGAGGCTAAGCCAGGGGCGGAGATTGGTATTCAGTAATCAAATTGAGAAAATTGTCTGGTTTGTTTGAATCAGAGATACTGACTTAGAATGATTTCTTGATGTGACGATGAAGAATCTAAGAGGAGATGCTGCTCGATTTGAGAGAAAAATGTAAAAGTTGTAGGACAAGAATATGGAAACAGACAAACATTTTTCAACAATCTATTTGAATCTAATTGACAATCTAGCTGACCACCGATCCAAGAATTCCAGCTAACCAAATAATTTTCTGTTTCAAATATTTATCATTCAACTAGCTGACCCGACAAACGTTGTTTTGCTAAGTAAGGTGTATTCTAAACAATCTCTAGAGAATCAAAAATATTAATACTTCAAGTGTATAAGGATGTGTTGTTTGAATGCTATATACAATGGGGTATTATAAAAACAATAAACCCCGTTAGTTTGACTATATTTTGTCAATACACTTATTGATTATATTTCAAGTTTTTCAGATTATTTTTGGATTCTGGATTTTGTGTATAATTGTAAATAATACTACTGAGCTTATTCATAATTTTCAAATTTATGCGAGGAGAGATGGAAAATGAATTAAGTATTTCTTCTTTGATCTGCTTTTTGAAAAATTTCAAGTAATATTCGATGAATTAAAGTAAATTTAATAAAAAGTTTATATGTAGAGCAGGGTGAGGCACAAAGATCCAATTTGACTTTGAGCAAATATAAATAAATTATGAAAACCAAACCAATTATATCACAACAAATAACACATTTCAAACGAGCAATTATCTGACTACGTTCAGTAAAACTGCCAACTACTTCATCATTGTGAAAATGTGCTTTTTTGCTGTCTTTCAAAAATTTGTTATCTAGATCTTTATACCCTATAGGTGGAGTAACTTGGAACGGCCAGATGGCAAACAGGTTCATTGTCTTATTTTAATTTTAAATGTATTTTACAAAGTAATTACATTTTTAACTAATGCTAAAAAAACTACCAATGGAAGAAAATACTTTTATTATGGATTTTCAAAGATTACCATTTATCTCCCAATAGTAAAGTCACAAGAATGAAGGTTATAGCTGGTTATATATCTTTTTTCCTCTATTTTCAAATATTATTATTAAACAATGCTTAACTTCACTGGATTTTCACACATTGGTGGTGGACCTTTTTAACCCCAGACCTTCATATATCACTATCTATTCTTCGAAAAATTCTGAGAAATTATATCTGGCAAAATTTTATTCGACAAAATGTCCCTTTGATCGATACCAAATGTATACCAAATTTATACTCAAATACCAATGGGTATTTAAATATTCAAATGAGATCTTTCAGAGCACCAAACTACAACGCCAAAAAGTGCATATCCATATTAACATTTCAACAAAAATATTTTGAGCATTCCGTTTAATAACGTTTTTGTGTATAAGTATAACTACTACATCATAATTAAATAATATCCACGTAAACTACTTATTACAATTTAATCATAATTAAATAATATTCACGTAAAACTTCATAAACGTAATTGCACATCATCTGTCAAAATCGTTTGACATTTGACGTATTAGCCACCGTCCATTGTTTTATTTGAATTACGCTTTTCTACGTTTACGTTTCTACGCGATTTTGAAATAATATCTCACTTTTTCGACAACCTACTGATTAGCACGAATTTTTCAAGACTAAGACTGACCAAATCGGTTTAGCCGTTTTCGAGTTTTAGCGGATCATTTTATCGAGCTCCATTTTAAAATATAAGATATCTTACCTTCGTCCTTGTTGCTCCCAATCATGACATCAACCCCTTGCAAATCAGCATTTCTCAGCATCTGCATAGGATCTCCAGTCATAAAAACACCATCAATCGTAGGTGCCGAAGGAAATCCTAAGATTCCTGAATAGGAATTCCATTGCTGGACGGAAATCGTTTTGGCGTCCACTGATCTCATACAGGCTAGGACCATACTAGGAGAATCCTGAAAAAATAATAAATGACAGGTAATTATTAGATATAAAAACAATCTGTTAAATTAAGAGAACAAAGACCAGTTGTTCATCTAATTTCATGAACCAGGAATCAGAAAGTTCATTTATGAGATCAATGACTTTTCTATAATTTTCCAATAGACTGCCTTTTAATTCAATCACACATATGAGGAGTTCGATGTCCAATTAATAACGTCTGCAAATGTCTTTAATTGAAATTGATATTTTTATCTTAAGAGATAAATGATGGTTCAATGGCTCTTCTTGGAATTCGCGGATGCAATTAGTGAGAGGAAAAGATTTTCTCTATTTTTCAATCGACGATGAATGAAGCCAATTTTAGATATCAATATATAGTCACGATGTTTGTTCTTAGTGACTTTTAAACTACTTAGCTTTTGTTAAATTTGATTTACTGACCGATTGCATTGGACGCAACAATAATAAAAACTTAAATTTATAGGCGAAAAATGTCACTAATGACTTCAATTAACTTTGATATAAATTTAAAAAATTACAATAAAATGTAAGTTGTCAGTTCCAACGTTTATATTATTTTTAAAATCCATAACCATATAATTTTGTAACAAATTATTCATTTATTTACAGAACTTATTGGATCGATATTCGATTTCTATTTAGAAGTATAAAAATCAAGTGAATGATGATAATTTATTTATTATATTTCTAAGCAATTTTCTTTAGTTATTAATTTTTTTATTTGTTTTTGCCAGAAAAGTCGACTTTCATTTTAATTTTTATAATTTTTAAGTCATACTGAATAATTCGTCAAAATTTAGCTTGTACGGCTGCACCAATTTTGAAACCGATAAGAACTTGCTTTTGCCAAAACCAGATTATTCTATACTTTAGGGAAAGGGGGTGGTTTGACAAAAAATCACGTAATATCACATGGGGGAAGGAAGGGTATAGCAAGTATTACGTGTATTTAATTTTCACATAGATTTAAAAAAAAAAAAACAAATATTTTCGAAAAAAATCGAACATTTTACAGTTTTGTTTCGGGGTTTGTAGTTAGAAAGTAAGAATTTAGGACTATGTGTATTCTTAATCACGAATTATAAAAAAACAATAAAAAAATGTTCCAAAAATTGAAAGAAAAATCTTGAGGGTGGCCAACCCTTACCACTTACTAGTATAAAAAATAGGCCTAGTCTTAGTCATATTAATCGTGATTATATATTTTTATAAGAATCGGTCAATCCATTTCGGAGGTGTATTGCGACAAATATCATGGTACGAAAATTATTTATATCTTATATATATAAAAATGAAGTATGGCAAAAGTCTAAACGAACCTATTTGCCAAGTTTTAGTCTTGAAATATTCGTACTAATCCGAAGATTGTGGAAAGGTGAGAAATTATTTCACATCTTCCTAGAAACTTCACAATTTTAATTTCAAAATGTTTGTAGAAACGTTATTAAAATAAAACAATCAATTGCTGCTCATACGTCAAATATCAAATGGTTTTGACAGAATATGTTCAATTAGGATGTTTTGGATGAATATTATTCAATTGCAGTAAGTAGTTTTATTTATACACAAAAATATTATTGAACTGGATGCAAGTGTTATTAGAAACTTAAAATATCAATTTTATTGAATGTTTAAAATGGTAATTTTTGGATTCTCTAGAAAATATTTACAAACACCTCATATAGTAAAATTTCATAAAAATGACGATAACTGACAAAAATTATTGAACTAATAAAGTAAGATATAAAATAGAAATTTGCTGTAGTACAGTGAAAATTTAGAGTTGTATTTTTTAATTGTACATTAAAAAAAATAAAATAAAGAAAATCGACCATAATATTTAAAACAAGTGTTAGGATTGATAAAAATAAATTGTTTTTTATTGTAAGAAAAGTTCGTACTTTTTCCAAAACTCTAAAAATTCTTATTTTCAATATTTTGATTTTCTAAAATCCAGTCAAAAACATTGACGAAACGCGGGATGAAAAATAATAGGATTGTGTCGGTGAAAATTTAGGGATGCATGCATTTTTCAATTACGAATTATAACTAAATTAAGTAAAAAGAAGCTGGTCCAGAAAATAAAAAAAGCAAATTATGAGAATGCAACCATCCCTCACTACTTAGGGGTATAAAAAAATAGATTTTGGACGATTCTCAGTCATATTAATCGTGAATAATATTATATAAAATATCTAATATTTATATAAATCGGTCAAGCCGTTTCGGGAAAGATTTACGACAAACATGATACGAGTAATTTTTATATATGTACATGTATGTATATATACGAGTATCTGTATATTTTTCGTCGGCGTGTTATCGAATTTAGCCTCCAAAACTTCGTCGGCAAGGTCAATAGTTAATAAGGCCGCCTTTCGACTTTATTGAACTTAAGTGGTCGCCTCATTCAATAATCATGATGTCTTTACAAAAGTACAAACGTTCGGCCACTTTAACTAAATTGCCGTTTAAATGGACTATCAGTCGTTTAGCCTTTTGTATTTTACAATCGATAGAATCAACAATCAGAAATTAATAATAAATAAATTATATTCATCGTTATTTTTTCACTTACCCTTAGGAGTGTAGCATTGCACCCACAATCCTCCACAAGTGCTTCGGCAACTCTAACAGCATCCTGCGCCGTCATATGGCTCCAAGGAGCATTTATAGTCCCACTTTGGAGCAGGGCTCTTGCAAACAAACCCCTCGTGGCAGGCGACAAGAGGTGCAAAGATACACTACCAGCTCCTGCACTTTCACCGAACAAAGTCAAACGCTCTGGATCACCTGAAAAACAAAATCACCATAGTAAATTAGATGTCTGATTTATGTTGACTTATCTTCTTCTTCTATATATATATATATATATAAATAAGTCGGGTTTTCCTTCCTGACGAAATAACTCCAGAACGCACGAACCGATTTCGACAATTTTGCATTCGTTGGAAAGGTCTCGGGCTCCGCAAGGTTTATAGCTAAGAAAATTACTTGTGCATGGCATCGTGCTCTTATGCAAATAGCTGGAACTTCATGCACCGTAGTTAAAAATTCGAGTAATGAAAATAATCAACAATTGTTTTAAATAATTTCAAATACATTATCTACATATATATAAAAATAATAATAATTTTATATATCTATATATATTAGGTTGTCAAATATCTCCCTTCCGCTTTTTTGCTATTGGTTTATAATACAAAAAGGCGGAAGGGAGATATTTGACAACCTAATATATAAAATATTTTCCTTCCTGACGATATAACTCCAGAACGCACAAACCGATTTCGACAATTTTGCATTCGTTGGAAAGGTCTCGGGCACCGCCAGGTTTATAGCTAAGAAAATTAGTTGTGCTTGGCATCGTGCCTTAATGCAAGCTGTTGGAACTTCACGCACCGTAATTAAAATTTCGAGTAATGACATTAGTGAGAATTATCAGAATTATGCTTGGTTAAGTCAACGAGCAATTCTTGCCGCAAAGAATAATGATGTACACGCACTGAATTTCACCATTCAATCAAAAATTGCTGGCGATTTGGTGACATACCAATGATTCCGATTGGTCTTCCATTTGACTTCAAACGATTGCAATTTCCAGTTCGCCTTGCGTTCGCAATAACAAGTCGCAAGGTTAATCGCTTAGTGTTTGCGGGATAAATTTCAATTAGATTATTTAGAAAATCATTGTTTTTCACATGGGCAGTTATACGTTGCCTGTTCACGAGTTGGAAAACCATCCGCTTTGTTTGTGTTAACGTCAGACCCAAAAAGCAAAAAATGTGGTTTACCAAAGGGCATTTCAATGAAACGGATAATATGCGGATTCACTTTCATTTACTTAAAATTAGAGAAGTTCAACTAAAAAACACTTTATTTTTGTAATCGAAATAAATTCATTACTGTTGTGTAATAAAATCAAATTTTTCCTTTTCAAATATAAAACAAACAAAAAATTTCTTAATCTTTCTCACGAAACCATCTGGTGGCGAAACGGAGTTCGTCGGGTTTGCAAGTTTATTAATTATTTTTATCATTTATTTATTATTTTTATTAGTTTATTAATTATTTATTATTTATTTTTATTATTAACATTTTCCATAGATGTCTAATTTATGTCTAATTCATGTTTCCATTATCCTACCTCCGAATGCTGCAGCGTTGTCCTTCAGCCACCTGATGGCCAAAGCTTGGTCCCACAGCCCCATGTTGCCGGGGGCTTCAGAAGCCCCGTTTCTAAAATGAGGGGCCAGATATAAAAATCCAAAAGCTCCGACTCTGTATTGCATTGCGGCAACTATTACGTTGCCAGTGGAGGAGAGAATTTCGGCGTTGTATATGTCCAGGGCTGCTGATCCGGACATGTAGCCCCCGCCGTAGATCCAAATCAACATTGGGAGACCTGGAAAAAAATTAAATTTTGTAATATTTACAAAAATGGAAATTTTGAATATTTAAATATAAAAGGGAGAAGGACTCTACAGACAAACAATTTGAAGTCTAGACAAAAGATTAAAAAAAATTGACTACCGAAGAGAGAATTAAACTTAAGCGAGAGGAAAATTTTGAAAAAAGTACTCTACTAACGAACACCTTAAATCTAGATAAGGGTAAGGGACTGTACTGATTATCAACTTAAATTTGAATAAGAGATAAAGAAACTCTACCGACAAGCCAAGTAAAGCCTATTAAGTAAAGACTTTAAGAGCAAAAGGGACTCTACTGCCAAAGCAAATTAAATTAGGACATTAGATAAATAGACTACTGACGAGCTAATTGAAGTCTAGGTGAACTTTAAGAAAAAAGGACTCTACTAACAAACAAATTAAGCTTGGACCAAAAAAACTTATATTGATAGAAAAGAATAATCTAGCGAAAAAAATTGATTTTGGCAATATGAACTCTCGTGACTTGCAAATTAAATTTTGACAAAAGACAAATGGACAAACAAAATAAATTCAGATACGATGAAAATGTTGATAGAAATAGAACTCTACTGACAAGCAAATTGAATTAGATTTTGGCGAAAATATTCAATAATGAGGCTCTACTGACGAGCAAATTAAACTTTGAGCGAGAATAGTTTTAATACAAAAAAGAACACTACTGGCGAGTAAATTAAAATTAGATTCTGAAACTCTACTAATGGCTAACAAATTTAATTTGGTCAAGAAATAAAGGAACGTTACTGACGTTGAAAGTTAGTATCAAATTGAAGTGTAGACTAAAATTTAAGAAAAAATGGGACTCTACTGACGAGCAAGTTACACATATAGACACAATAAATATATTGATAAAAAAGACTCTACTGACGAGCAAATAAAACTGAGACACGATAAAAAAATTAAATTTGCAAAGAGGACAACACATAAAGGAATTCTACTAACAATCAAATTAAAGAGCAGACTAAACTTTAAAAAAGGACTCTACTGACGAGTAAATTTAAAAAAAATGCAAAGAGATTCTACTATCGAGCAAATTAAAATAAACTTTGTAAAAAAAAAGAGATAAAAGGACTCTACTGACCAGCAAATTGAAAGAGGATTTGCAAAGAAAATAAGAGATAAATGGACTCTACTGACGAACAAATTGAAATAAGATTTGCAATGAGAACAAGATATAAAAGAGACCTTACTGACGAGCAAATTAAAGGCTAGACTAAACTTTAAGAAAAAAGAACACTACTGACAAACAATTGGAAATAGATTTGCAAAGGAAACAAGAGATAAAAGAGACTCTTCTGACGAGCAAATTAAAGACTACGCCAAACTTTAAGAAAAAGGGAACTCTCCTGACGATTAATGTTCGAAACTTTTTTATAGGATTTATATGTCGTTTCTGTTGAAAAATAAATCAATATGTTATGGCAAGGCTATGTTATACAGTGCTTCTCATACAAAATAGTACTGAAGACAGTTAAAATCCCATGTGGTTGCTGTGCGATTAGGCGTTTTACACATAAAATGCAACTTCACTAATATGTTATTATGGCACATCACAAATATGCAGATATGATAACATTGATTTTTTTGGCATTTGTCCGAGGTTTTGTATCTAAAACGCCTCTATGCACTTACAAAGCATTTTACAGTTTTTAGTACCACTTTATATAAAAAACGCAGCGTAACAAGGCCTTGCCGTAACATTGGTCTATTTCATGGCAGAATCGGCCCATTAGATTCCAACAATTTTTCATTTGTATCTAAAACGCCTCTAAGCAACTACATAGCATTTTGACAGTTTTTGATACCACTCTATATAAAAAAGCAGTGTAACAAGGCCTTGCCATAACATTGGTTTATTTCACGACAGAATCGGCTTATTAATTCCCAACAATTCCAAAAGTATTTTATAAACTACAACTCATTTAACCAAGACATTCATCTTTATAAATATTTGTGAACTATTATTAAATTTTAATGTCCCCTACTTTCACCTATAAAAACGAACGAATACAAGTATTCGGCGGAACACTAAGGAGAATGTTGGAGAGTAAGTAGGATGATGTTATGAGGAGATGATACCGACCTTGACCTTCCTGTCCTCCTCCCTTGAGCCTAGCAGGAGCGAACACGTTCAAGTAGAGGCAATCCTCCGATATGTTCGTATTAGGATTCCACAGCTCCTCGCCTTGAAAACCCTGAGAATTGAAAGAAAAAATTGAATTAAACAAATTGTATATTAATTACATACTTTTTATTATGATAGAAATACTATGTAAATGTAATTATAAGCATACTAGATTCACACAGGATCCTGAATTCACACGCCAATGATACTCGGTTCGAGTCCCGACACTAACATAAAATTGTCATTGGATTTCTGAGATTGAAATTAAGTAGAATTTGAATTCTTGATTTGAGATAGAATAGAATTAGAAATTAGGAAAAGACGCCAGTTTAGAAGATAAAGAAAAAATAAGAAGTAGTTATAAAAATAATTGAATGGTATAGCGTATATAAAGATAGTATATGATATAATAATGAAGATAGAATAGAATGTAACAAAAGCTTGTAAGGTTTGGCTAAAAGCTCTAAAGCGATGGCCAATATATACTATATATATATATATATATATATATATATATATATATATACTAGATGACCCGACAGACGTAGTCCTGTACTTATGTTCACAATTCAAAAGTTTCAATTTTTTTTAATAACCTATACTGATATTTACCAATTAGTTAAAAATTATGTTTTTTACACTACAGTCTATACCGAAATGTATTTACACCCATTTGCTTTAAATAAAATGATAAATATTTGCTTTTTTGGAAAACATTATAAAACTTTTTTCTTATAATTAGTTCTTTTATCGAAATCCGACGTTATTTTGAAAAAAAAATGAAATTACACCACTGAGAGAGATGTCATCCCCCCGGAAAATGGCAAAGGAGTCTGAATTATTTTCACTTTTGAACTTGAGAGTAAGATAAAACTAATTCCAAACTTCCATACGAATTGGAGCACAGTAAAAAAAATTCAGGCCTAAAACGCTCCATTGACTTGAGTAATAATATTCGAGAAAATATACTAAAGTTTGTATGTGAAAAAGAAGAAGGTTGTTTTTAGGGTTTTCCCGACGATTATTCGATTTTTCTCGCCGTAAGAACCATCCTTAGACTTCAACAAACATTTTAAAAAAAGAATTGGCCAAATTGGTCCAGGCGTTGTTGAGTTATGCGCTTACCAACACATTTTGCGATCCATTTTTATATATAAGATATATATTAGGGTAGTTCTTAATATGGCTCAAAGGGTTCCAATTTGATAAAAAAAAAACAATTCTCTGAAAGTTTAAGCTCCTAATATTAACTTTTAGATAGTGCGCAGTTCAATCAAACATTGTATGGAAATAGGATGAAAAATATGTTGGAAATTAAAACAATTTTTGTTAGGTATAACTTAGCGACAAATAAATTAAAAGTAAAAATTCGTGTCATTTTCTATTGAAAATTCCATAAAAAACTTTGAATAGCGCACTATAAAAAACAAAATTAAGAGCTAAAACATTCAGAAAATTGATTATTATCAATATGGAACCATTTGAGCCCTTGGGAGCAATCAAATTCGAAAATGTCTATATTAAGGACCACCTTGTTATACTTGTCATCCCTTTGTGGTAAAGTGGTTAGGTTAAAATTTATTATGGAAAATATAGAGTCCTTAGAAAACACATGATATACATAATACACTGAAATACTAATTAAGTGTGCTGAAAAATATAGTGTGTCCCAAAACTCAACGTCAAACAGAAAAGGTATGACAGAATCGATCATAAATATCTTGAAACAATATTAGAAATAATATTTATTGCACATAGTTTGAAAATTATAGGCTTTTAAGGTTAATGTAACGATTTTTTGATGATTGTAGTTAATTTTCATTATTTTTGTTCATTTGAACTTTGGATCCATAAGCCTGAATATCAATATATTGATAATTATTCCAAATTTTCTAAAATTAAAAATGCTTGGCTAATTAGGATTTTAACATTTTCAATATTAACTTTGTAAAGTCTTTCTTTTAAAAAAATGTACTAAAGTGTATTGGCAAATTGCATCAAGTGTTTAGGCGTTTAATCAAAACTTTTGATTGAAAAAATACTAAAAAATATCATATTTAAAACAACCGAGTAAAAAATAAAAACCTAAAAATTACATGAAAAAGTTTTTATATAGTAATTAAGATTCATGCAAACAATAATCGTATTATTGTCAAGTTTTTATTTTTTTACTCGAATTTTCATAATATGTTTATTAAATTTTTACTCGATTTTTTTTATTAAAAACCGATCATAAGTATCTCAAAAATAGTACTTGCATACTTTGTATAAATTACAATAATTTAACATAAATTTTATTCTAATATTTTTGATTATATATGCAAAGGAAAAATTTCACTAATAATATACAATAGCAATACGATACTACACAAATTACAATCAATTTGTAGTAAAATTGTTACTTAAAAACAACTTTGTGAAATGTTACAGGATTTTTAAGACTAATTAAAAAAATATGATCAAACTTGATTAAATAGATAGATTCATTGTTTCTCAAAAAATTAAAAATCCAAAATTGAAAATTCAAAAATTTAGCTGAATTGATATAAAGTTTCAAGTCTAGATTTGACTCATCTTTAGTGCAAAATTAATAAAATACAAACAAATTATTATTTTTTTGTTAAAAATATATACTCGTATGTTTGAAATAAAATGCTTACAAATAATTTTCAAAGGTTGAATTCAATATCAAGTTAAAGAGTTTGAATTGTTTGATCAGCGGAAAGAAAATATAATAGGCTTATGGAAATCGTTTGACACAGACAGATAATAGCCAAAATAATATTTTCAAATATTTGTTTTAGTAACTAAATAACTTTCCATAAACAAAATTTCAGAAGAAGCAAAAAAACAGCTGAAGTTATATCATTTGGCAAATTTTTAGAAAATTCTGTTCAATTTCACCAAATAGAAAAATTATGTGTGTGTATGTATATCTGTTTAGATATTTATTATATAATTCATTCTTTTTAACTGTATGTTTATGTATTGAAACATTTAAATTGTTTAATGATGTTATTCATCTAATAATAAAAAAAGAACAAAACAACAATTTGCATTGAAGCACTATTATACAAATATACAATGCTAGTTTAATTGAATTATCTACAAACAATTAAACATAAATCATTAAGGATTCTTTTGTTCCATTCTAATTTCATTAACATTTATATTCCATTATTTTTCATATTTTGTGAAATATATATTTATATTGATATATATATATATATGTGTGTGTGTATATGTATGTATATACATCTTTCAATATATATTTTCGTGTCAAAAGCTCACAATATGAGTACCTACGAGTATGATAAAATCAATAATTTTTTGCTTCGTTTCAAATGCATTCCCATCAATTATTCAAACTTACTCCCTAATATGATATAAACTGGATATCATCATCAGAGAGCTGATAGAAAAAATACTAGACTATTATCCATTCCTATTTTACTTGGCTAATTTTGATTTATTACATCCATTTTCAATTTTTATATTGGAATATAAAAATTGGACTACTTAGATAATATGCATATTCAAATGTTTGGATGCTTTGAAATGTTGAGATATTCAAATAATATTAACATTTGTAAAAGAAATAAAAATTACAGGAAATTATTAACAAAATCTGTTGAAACAAAAATGTAGAGGCATACAAATATTGATAGCAGTAAATTTACAAAAAATAAAATTTAAAAAATATAGAATACCAAATATTAAAAATCAAAAACCTAAAATTCAAAAACTTGATTAAAATTAAAATTATTGCAAGACAAATGAAAAATAAGATATCTGAAAAGCTAAAGAAACCAAAGTACTGATAACAAATAACTGAACATAAAATATTAGACAAAATTTGAAAGCTCACAAAATAGTGTACAGCAAAATTCTTTAATTTGTATAAATAAAAATATTAAGGTTTTTAATAACTTTTTAACAATTATAAATTATCTCTTCTCCAAGTATCAAATTGCAATTCTGTAAGTCATTAATCCACATGTTGGGAAACACTGGTTTTCAAAATTCCCCAAAAAATATAAATTTGTTAAATAATTTTTATTCAAATATGACATTCTTAATGTTTTGAGTAAATTTGTCATAAGCTCTTTTTCGTTTGTTTATAAATAAATAATTTGTACATATCAAAAATACTATACACGAAAATTAAGTTTATTTACGACAATGTTGTATTTTTGGTTGAATATTATAAATTATTAATATATATATATATATATAATGTAACGAAATAGTCGTTTAGGCGTAAATTCAATTATTAAAAGTAAAACAATGTCACGTTTAAAACAAATAATTTTTACTGTTATATTTTTTCACATTATACGAGTTCTTTTTGATGAGTTCTTTAACTTGTATTGTGTCTCGATATATATTAAAAAGTATGCATATTTAATATAAACATTACATAACTTGATATTTTAGATTTTCAGGCTTTCTGTCAAATAATAATATTCGTTAAATAATTGCAATAATATTTCATTTTATACTAATCAATAACAAAAATTATGGTCGAAGATAGTAAAAGTTGAGATTTTAAATTAAAAAAAAAACAAATATATAAAAGATAAAATTATAAATTCAAGAACCAAAAATTATTTATCAAATTATTTGCTATCAAATCTAACCTTTCCTTGTGTTCACAAATTACAAAAAAGTAAATATTATTATTGAAGTAAAACTTCTTTAGGCGCGATATGGGTGTAAAAATTTCTTTAGGCTACACGGGTGTAAATCCGTACAAATGCAACGAAAACGCCAACGTGAAGTTGAACACTACGACGCCGTAAGCGCTGATGTCGCGAGTATCCACTCCCGTCATGTCATGCGTAAGTCGAGCGCTAAACCCTATATGAATTTGCATTAATTGAATCACATTTTTTATGTTATGTCCTCATGGAATAAGACTTTTCTTAGAGAATAAATGTGTCATGGAATATAATAAATTTATACTGAATCTCGTTGAAGACAAAATAATATCTACTGCCACGGATATTTATGTAGGTTGCCATGCGACAGATCAACAATCATACATTCGTCAGCAGTTTCACAAAAATCGGTTATGAAATAATTTTAGTTCTGAATAATTTTAGTTCTGAATAAATTTTACATAATAACAACTAATATTGATGTAAGTGATGGCTTAGCTAATGGTTGTGTAGGAAAATTAGTGTACATAGAACGTGGCGATAATGATGAACTTCTAGGTTTATGGTTTGAATTTCCTGGTAAGATAGGTAACAAAATTAGGAAGAAAGCTGCACATCATATTCAAACTCTTAATATCAGTAGGACAGCTGTGCCGATTCTCAGGAGATCTTTATCTATTCCAATGAATAGAAATAAAACCATATTTGCCAAAAGAAATCATTTTCCTTTAGTGTCTGCTTGTGCACTCACAATACACAAATCACAAGGTGGTACTTTTGATGAAATTGTATATGAATTCAATAAAACACATAATCAGCAGCTTCTATATGTTGCATTATCACGAGTTACCAGCATTAATGGATTGTTCATCATTTCTAAAACAACGACAAAAAAATTTATAATGGAAGAAAACGGCCAGCAGGATTAATGAACTTAAAAACTGAATTCCAAAGACTTTCAACTTGTAGATTAATAACACAAGAAGAAAAATTGAGTGAGATAATAAGTTTGAACGACATTTCATTGTTTTCCTTTAACTGCCAAAGTTTACGAGCTCATTTGCCTGATCTGCAAGATAAAGTGCTACAACGTTGTACGTTTTTGTTATTTTCGGAAACTTGGATTAATAATGAAGAACGAATTGATATTCAGAACTATTACTGCGTTTCTCAATACAAACGATCAAACTCAAGAGCAGGTGGTGTAGCTGTCTAATGTCTATCATTCATGTTCAGATACTCTTCATAATGCGACTCTTATGCAGTTTCTTGCGCCAACGATATTACTGGATATTCCTAATGAAATTACACAAGTAGGTGATATTACACACACAGAATCAAACATTAATTATAGTCGTCCTTTAAATTTCTCCCAATAAAAACATATCAAATATTATTGAATTTCTTCATCAGCAGTTACTTCATTTTTCTAATGAGGGTGCAAAACTTTTAAACACTAATCACAACGAGATACCATTAATTCTTGCTGGAGATTTCAATGTCAATTTTCGTTCAGAAGAATCTCAACCATTAATCGATTTTTTAAATAATAAATTTAATTTAACAATGAATAATTCTCCATTTGAATCAACCACAAGATATGGCACGACTATTGATGCAGTTTTCTCCAGAAATGTACATAGTTTACAAAGCAAAATTTATGTCTCTCATTTCACCTATTATATCATATATGAAATATGATAGCAATTAATCTATCGTTGTTGTTTTAAACTGTGTTATTGATGTTATGTGATTATTAATAAATGATTTTTAAAATTCAAATATGATGTTTTTTTATTTTTATCTTAATTGCCTACTCATACAATATTAAAAGTTTTACTTCAATCGCGTGTGATCCTTACGCGCACTCTTTTTTTAATAAATGGTGCTCAACTGTTTAATTGTTATTAGTTAGGTTTCTTTGAGTTATGGTTCTTTCTATCATATTTACCATCTTTTTATATTTTTTTAGTAATTTCCAAAATATCTCAACTACAAAATACTAAAATATCAAAATTTACATAAAGCCTGAATCTCTCAAAACGTTAAAATGTCTAAAATGTTACTCCAGAATCTCCAAACAATTCATAAACAATAAAAAAAATTAAAATATCTAAAAAATTCAAAATATCTAAAAATTGTAAAATGATAAAAAAATCCAATAAATCTAAAAATTCGAGTAATTTAAAATTTGCAAATTGTTTAAACAAATACAAATATTCATAGAAATCAATCTACAAAAGATTGAAACTGATTTGTTTCAATAGAATTTGTAAATAAAGTAAATAAGCAATTTCAAATTCTACCAAATTTAACAGCAGAAATTTGTAAGAATTAAATCAAAGAACCAAAAATAGTAATAAATCGATTATAAAATTTTTTGTTTAAATTTAAATTCATTATGACTTAATTGCCGATCAAAATAATGTGGTTTAAAGTAATAATTCATAAATAGGTTTATAATTTTAATATTATTCAAGTAAGAAGATACCTAACATCAAATTCCAAGAAATCCGAAATAAATACCAAAATTAGATTAAGTTCGGTTTGAGAACTCCAAGAACAAACAAACATGTCAAAATTTCCGTCTACCGTTTTTTAATAGAATTTTTTTTAATTCAATCAACGGCAATTTAAAAAAATTAGGAACATGTATTAATGACAAGAAAAATTTAGATGCATAAAAATACCACAATTAAATTTTGGCATCGTCAAAAGTGAAGACATCCAAAATATGCATAATTTTGAGCAATCGAAATACCAGAAATACAATTTGGCATCACCTATAAAATGTAAATGCCAGACATAATTAATTTTGCAAATAATGATTGCAAAGATAATTGTGATTGCTTTATCAAAGTCAGAAACCAGGCTATTTAGAAACATTAAATAATGAAAATATCAAATTAACATAATAAAATATTGGCTTCACTAACATCGAACAACTACAGGATCGACTTCAGACACCACTAATTTTAGCAAAAGCAAAGGAAACTAGCTGTAAGTGGAATTCTGTCTTAAAGCAATTAAGGCATCGTGCCTTAAGGCAAATTGCTGAAACTTTCCGTACCAAACATTATTATTTTTTTAAAAGCGATTAACATTTTTGAAAAAAATTTACTTCGAAGAAATTAGATTTTTGAGAAACAAAAAAAATGTTTGAAAAAAAAGTTTTCTTTATTTCGGCATAGTTTGGAAATTCTGAACTTTTTTTCAAAGATATCGTACTGCTTTCAGTGGATAGAGACAAAATGTCAAAGCGCGTAAGCGCCGCGTCGCCGTCTAACGGATAAACATTGGTACGGAACCCAAAGGAATGTAAACAAAATTCATACTTATTGTAAAAATTTCTATAAAATATCTGATAATTTGATGTGCATATGTCTAATGATCATTTTTGACCGCCAAATGGCTTTTTGTTTTTCTTTTTTCATTAGAGCTTCGAAACCGCTAGACCTGCCTTCATGAAAATTTGATCAGTTCTTCATTTTGTCAATACAAGTAAAATGTTTTTTGAGTTTTTAAAATCGGACGCACCGTCCTTAAAAACCATGTTACTGTTTTTGGCACTTTTTGCCCCGTATCTTCGGAACGGCTAGACCTGCCTACACTAAAAACTAATCGGCACGTTTCCTTACCAATACAAATCGAATGTTGATTTAAATTCTTGCTATTTTAATCAATTGATCGGTGTTTTCGAAATCGTCCACGAAAATTTGTATCCGAACACACACACACGCACACACAAACACACATACATCCATTTTTTCTAAGGTATGCCAAAATATTCAGAAACCTTTGAAACGTCGAGAAATGCAAAAATTTTCATTTTCGATTTTTTTGCGATTACTATAACTTACCCTACGGGAAGTTAAAAAACATATGTATCAAAATATCATCAAAACAAATTGACATCACTAAAACCTAACAACTACAAGACCGACTTCAGTCACCACTAAAGTTAGCAATATCAAAACAAAAAAAAACACATAACAAATAAATCCTTTACCCCCCACCTGAAAATATTCATATCTCTCCTGGACGCAACAATTAGGAGGATGTGTGGCATCCAGAACCCCATGCCAAGGTTCTGCAGGAACCGGTTTTCTAAACCTCAAAGGACCAACCGGCGGTTTGGCATATGGTATACCGGTAAACACGTGTACCTCACGTCCCAGGACGATCCTTGCACGACCCCGGATCAACCCGGAAGTAGTGGTTACAGTTAAGGGATCCTGATGGGACCCATCGACTCTGGTCGAAATCGAGAGCAAGGAGAAGACTAAGATGGATGTTAGATGGTACATGATGAAAGATTAGGACATGAATTGGCAATTATTTGTTTTGATTAGGGCATGAAGGAAGGTGTAGTTGTTGGTAAGTTGGTAAGTTCACATCACACTAGAATCAAGTCACTAGAATCACGAGATGGTAATAGATTGTCACTTAGTCCACAGCGTCCAGCACTGTCAACACTTTTTTGTCAAATCCACGCACTTCAATACAAGTCACAAATTCACCAAATTCACCAACACTTCACTACAAACGTTTACACAAAATATTATAAACAATATGTCATTTACTATTTACTATTTAGGAGCGTCCTTCTCCGTCCGTGGTCGGTTTGTATCTGAGTCTCCGGGTCGAATAGGATATGTCGAAACTCGGCTAAGAGTGTGTTGGTTAAACGACAAAGTGTGCTTTATTGGTGTGTGGGTAAGTGTGGTTATGTGTGTATATGTGTGGTTATGTGTGTACAAGTGTATAAGTGTGTATGTGTGTACACGTCTATAGTTTAGACACCCGAATTCGTGTTGGGTTGGGTAGGGTTGAGAACGAATTTGGACAGGGTGTGGAGTGATGATGGTAACCGAAATATTATGAAAAATTTAATTTTTGTTGAAGTCTCTTTTTTATTATATTATAATTTTTTTACAAGTCTCTTCTCTATTATATTTGGTTTTCTTTTTACTGAAAATAATATAGGTGATTTATTTATACTGAATGTACATCTAAATGGTTCTGAAAAATTCTAACTAATTCAGTGGGTGTGAAATTTCCAATGTTTTTAATATTTCCAAGGATTCTATGGTAATAATTTAAAAATTCTAACAAGTTTAAGAATTTTAACAAGTATAAAAGTTCTTGCATTCTAACAAGTTTCAAAATCCAAAAATAAAATTCCAAAAGGTTTAAGAGTTTTAATATATTTCAAACTGAGCATAAATATACAAAATATATTAAAATATCCAAGGAGTTTATAAATTATAATAAAAATTTAGAGGTCATAATCCAAGAAGTCCCATTTTTTCAGAGTATAAAAAGATTTATGAAAAGAAAGTACAAGAATGACAAGTTCCAAAAAGTATAAAAAATTAAATAATAAATACTCAAAGATTTCAAAAGTGATTGAAATTCCTATATATTTCAACTTTTTAAGAATGGATTAAAATAAATATCTAAAATAATAATTTCAAGAAATTTTACATAATTAAAATAAGTTCCAATAGTAGTAAAAAGTCTAAAAGTTAAAATTTAATTAAAAGATTCTGAAAAAATTAGAGATTGCAAAAATTCTACAAAATTATTCAAAACCAGAAAGGTTAGAAAAATTTTAACAAGGTTGTAAAAATATGTATAAATTGCAAAAAAATTGAGGACTCCAGAAATCTAAAGATCTCAAAGTATGCGAATAAAATAAAAAAAGTTTATGAGATCAAAAATATGAAAAAAAATCTATATAGGCTATAAATGAAAAAATATCTAAAATTTAGAAAATATCTGTAAATAACAGAATATCTAATAATGACAAAATGTCTAAAAAATTGGAAAATGTATAAAAAATTGGAAAATGTCTAAGCAATTGGAAAATGTCTAAATAATTGTAAAATGTCTAAACCATTGGAAAATATCTAAACCATTGGAAAATATCTAAACCATTGGAAAATGTCTAAAAATCAAAAAATGTCTAAAAAAATTGGCAAATGTCTAAAAAAATGGAAAATGTCTAAAAAATTGGAAAATGTCTAAATATGACAAAATGCCTAAAAACGACAAAAAGCCTAATAATTACTAAAAATCTACAAATCCTATTTCTAGGTCTACAAAATTTAAATTTAAGAATTCTAAAAACTCTATAAATATAAAAATGTGCAAAATTCCGAAAAAGACTCCAAATTGCAAAAAGCCTAAAATTTATAAAGAGCCTAAAAACTTAGAATGACAAAAAAACTTTAAAAGAATTTGAAGAATCTAAATACCCCAAAAATCTAAAATTTCATGAGACTTATTAAATAAAAACTCTTGAAATTCAAAATAAATGTGATTTCAAAAAGTTCATAAATCTAACTCTTGCAAGTCTAAAAAGTAAAAAAATAAAATAAAAAAAGCTCAATAAATTTCAAAAAAGCTCCAAACTCAAAGTTTTAAAATCTTATCAAGTCTCATGAAAACTTGAAGAAGTCTGAAAACTCAAAAAGGTCTAAAAACTCGAAAAAATGTGAACACTCGAAAAATGCTGAAAACTCGAAAAAGCCTGAAAACTCGAAAAAGTCTAAAAACTTGAAAATGTCTAAAAGTCTAAAGAGGTCTAAGAACTCAAAAGCTCTAAAATCCCAAAAAACTCAAAAAAGTCTAAAAAGTCCATAAACTCAAAAGAACTCTAAAAAGTCGAAATAGTCTATAAACTCCAAAATGGCTAAATGCCCAAAAATGGCTTGAATTTATAAAAATTTCAAGGTTCCAAAAAGTTTTATATTATAATAATAAAAGTTTTAAAATACCTAAAGTTTAAAATTAGCTAAAAGTTTTTAATTTAAATTTGTTAAAATATCTAAAAATACAAAAAAATTGAAAAGTATAAAATTTCGAAAGGGTCTAAAGAGTTCAAAAGGTTAAATATTGCAAAAATCTAGAGATTGCAGATGAACTCAAATTTTTATGATAAAAATAAGGGTAAAATTTCTGAAGGTAAATCCTAATCTTAATAGCAAAAATCTAAAAATTCCAGAAGCTTTAGGAAATTCTAAAAGGTTCTCAAAAATTCCAATAAATAATGCCTTAAAAAGTTTTAGAAAACTTGAGAAGTTTACAACTTTGATAAATATATTGAAAATTTCAAGTGTGTACTCCAAATCAACACAATTATTCAAGTACATAGATTTTATACCATCGAATTTTTTGCAACTATTCTCTATATTTTATTTAAAGCTTTTGTGATCAAAATAATGACAAAACGTCTGAAGATAGCAAAAGATCTAAAAATTCAGAGAAATTCCAAAAAACATTATTAAAAAGTCTCAAATAACTTAGGAACTATGACAAGGATTCTTAAAATTGCAAGTATGTCTTCAAAAAATCTTCACAATTTATCAAGTTTGTCGAGTCTCTATTATTAAAATTTTCAGTTTTCTGTTCTATATTTTATTCCAAACTTTTGTAAACAAAATAACGTGTATATAAAACGTCTGAAGATATCAAAAAATATGAAAATTTAAAGAACTTTAGGAAACTTTAAAAATTGTCAAGAAGTACCAAGAAATCATGATAAATTAGTTTTAAAAAACCTAAAACTTTGACAAGAATATTTAAATTTGCAAATATGACTTCAAAAAATCTACACAATTTTTCAAGTTCGTCGATTCTATACCATTGTGTGTAATTTCCTTAACAATTTTATTCAAAACTTTCAAATATTATAAAAAATCATTTTCCCACTTGTAACGTTACATCGATTCCAAACCCTGATAACAACCCTCGCCCCGTCCCCCGATCCTCACCAACCCTCGCCAAAGCCTCCTCACCAGGTTTATACACCGTTGGCCTTGAACAGACTGCGCAAACTCCTCCGTTCCTTCGTATCTTTCTCATCTACAATAATACTACGAACACAGGCAACCTTTTGCCAGCGTACCTCTTACTACTACTACTACTACTACCAATACTACCAATACTAATACTACCAATACTACCACTGCCAACGTCGAAGACTTTGGGGTAAGGTGAGATAAAGTGAGATAAAGCCAGCCATCAGCCAGCCAGCGTGGAAGGTGAGAATGTATAACTCTGGTAAGGTAAAGTAAGGTAAGTGGTGTATGTATGTGTTTGTGTGTATGTATGTGTGTATGTATGTGTATGTATGTCGATGTACGTATGTACGAATTCCTTTACATTATTTACCGATGAGCGGTGGAGAATGGATGGAGTACAAATATGGTGAACGTGCACAGCACCAGATCTTTGGATGTAGTTATTGTATAGTTGATGTCGAGCATTGAAATATTAATATGTGAAATAATGTAACGCTGAATTGCCTGTTTGAGCAAGGATCAGAGATGTGGACTCTGGGGAAAGGCAGTTGGTTGTAGACGAAGAAGTTGTACTTGGTTTGAAATGTGGACTCAGGCAAAAGGTTGTCAATAGACACAGAGATACAGATATGTTTTTTTGTCAAAAAGTTTCTTTACAATTCACAGTATATATGTAAAATTGCACACAGATACTTTTTCGTAAATTTTAATTGTTAGAGCAAGAACATGCATCAGCTTATTTGTTCAGCTTGGTGTCAAGCAGTAGTAATATCAAATTTTTACTAATGTTGTACTATAGTATTACCTTCTAAAATGTCGCACTTCTGAAAATCTCAATATCAAAGTAGTAAATTAGAGTATTCAATATTTTAACTCATGGTAATAAATATTGAAGCAAGAGTCGACACACTGTATGTCATCTATAAGATACGCTATATCTAAAAAGTTAAATAGCAAAATAGTAAATTAGAATTCTCATTAGTTTACCTTGGAGTAATAAAAATTGAACAAAAAGTCGGCACACTGAATGTCTTTTTTAAGTGACACTAGTATTCACTTTATAGAATAGGACAATAGAATGTTTATTAGTTTAAATAATTTAGTTAAGTTGATACATTAGATGTCCTCTATAAGCGACACAAGCGTTCACTTCTAAAAAGTAACTAGAATTTTTAATTAGACTTCTTAACAGCATAACTCAGGGTGATAAACAAAGAAGTAAAGTCGACACACTAGATGTCGTCTATAAGCGACACTAGTATTCACTTGTGAAAAAAATCACTTCTAAAGAGCTAAAAACCAGACTGGGACATTAGAATTCTCATTAGTTTAACTAAATAAATATTGATATAAATACTATCAAAAGTCCACACACTAGATATCGTCTATAAGCTACACTAGTATTTGCTTCTAAACGGCAAAAAAACAACAGAAGATTAAATTAGAATTTTCACTAGTTTAACTCAGCGTGATAAATATTGAAGCACACCGCATGTCAACTATAAGTGACGCTATTATTCACTTATAAAAAAAAAATTCTTCTTAAAATATCAAAATAGTAAATAAGAATTCTCATTAGTTTGTTTCAGAGTGATAAAAATTTAACCAAAAGACACATTGGATGTCATCTATAGGCGACACTGATATTTATTTGTAAAAAAATCAATTATAAAAAGCTAAAAACCAGAATAGTAAATTAGATTTTTTTGTCAGCTTGACACAGAGTGATAAATATGAAAGCAAAAGTTGACACACTGGATGTCATCTATAAGCGTCTAGTATTTATTTGTAAAAGAAATTTACTACTAAAAAGCTAAAAACC